CTCTTGATGCCCTGCAGCCGCGCCTCCACCTCCACCTGTGGGGATCCACATAGAGAGAAGGAATGCGAGGGAGGGATCAGGACAAGGAGAGAGTAAAGGGAGAGTCAAACTGTGTCGGGTCCAGCTCCTCGTGCTCCCTCTTGATGCCCTGCAGTGCAGCCGCGCCTCCACCTCCGCCTGTGGGTTCAGAGAATGAAGATGGCAGGGAGGGATGTGGGCGGATATGGTGTGATATAGTCACACTCACTGTGCCGGGTCCAGCTCCTCGTGCTCCCTCTTGATGCCCTGCAGCCGCGCCTCCACCTCCGCCTGTGGGTTTGTGGGGATGGGGGGGGGAGGCATGTGGGTGGTGTGATGAGGAAAAGATGGAAAATAAGGGAGAGCTTTACAGTGTACTGTGCAGCTCCTCGTACTCCCTCTTGATGCCCTGCAGTGCAGCCGCGCCTCCACCTCCGCCTGTGGGGTCAGAGAATGAAGATGGCAGGGAGGGATGTGGGCGGATATGGTGTGATATAGTCAAACTTACTGTGTCGGGTCCAGCTCCTCGTACTCCCTCTTCATGCCCTGCAGCCGCGCCTCCACCTCCGCCAGAGGGAATTCACATAGAGAGAAGGAATGCGAGGGAGAGAGGCATGTGGGCAGGTGCGATGAGGATGGAATAAGGAGGAGAAGGATCAAAGGGAGAGTCTCGGCCGTGGAGTCGCCATGGCCGAGTGCTTGTTGCTGCAGCTATCCTGAGAATTCACGAGCCAAACACACCTTCTTGGGGCTGCCCTGGAACAGCTCTGCCACCTCCTGCGGGTCCCACAGCAGTGGGGTCTCAACAGCAGTCTGTCCTCGCCCCCTCTGCCTATCAAGCTCGTTGATAAAAGGACGCCAGAAGGACTGGTCGGTCTGCTTCTCCTCAACCCTTTCTCAGAAAGGCCGAGCATCAACGCACAGCGCCAGACACACCAGCAGCACAATGCTGCTAACCCCCTCGACTCTCACCTAACCTCCCCACCTGATCCTGATGCTCACCTTCATGGGGCTCCCTTGGAACAGCTCGGCCACCTCCTGCGGGTCCCACAGGAGAGGGGTCGCGACGGCCGTCTGGCCTCGCCCCCTCTGCCGGTCGAGCTCGTGAATGAAGGGGCCCCAGAAGGACTCATCAGCCTGCTTCTTCTCGAACATGAGGTAGAGCGCCAAGCACGCCAGCTCCGATAGCTTGTTGGTTGTTACCAGCTCCGCTGGAGGGGTGGGGGACGGGGGAAGTGGGAGGTGAGAGATGGAAGGAGGGAAGGACTGATTGGCCTGCTTCTTCTCGAACATGAGGTAGAGCGCCAAGCACGCCAGCTCCGATAGTTTGTTGGTTGTTACCAGCTCCGCTGGAGGGGAGGGTTGGGGTGGGGAATCGAGGGGAGTGGGCGAGAGGGCGAGAGGCGGAGAGCATTGGTACGTGTCGTATCGCTCGTGGGTGGAAGATGAGTAAACGCATTGGCTCACATTGATTCAGGGTCGCCATAAACGAGTTTTGAGTCGACTCAAAACACGACGCATTGGTACGTGCCGTATCACTCGTGGGTGGAAGATGAGTGAACGCATTGGCTCATATTGATTCAGAGTCGCCATAAACGACAAAAATGGAGAATGGGGGGTGACGCGCACAGCAGACACGGAAGTTGGGACAAGCGTCGTGCGGTCGCATTGCAAGGTCAGTGAGACGAAATTTTTAAGTCAAATTAATCAGGGGATGCGTCTGTCGGGTGAGATGTTTCAACGGAACTACAATGTGAGGCCTGTTACTTGCTTGTGCACCCAGGAAGTGATGAAACATGCAGACGCGCAAGCCATACCTAGGTTTTCGTCTCCCAGCACTCGACCCAGGGTGACAATGAGGTTCTCCGGAACCTTTGAGTCGTCGACTCAAATGACAGGAAAGAAAGGGCCACGCAAGCCATACCTTCTCCGGCACCTTTGAGTCGACTCAAAAGACAGGAGACAAAGGGCCACGCAAGCCATACCTAGGTTTTCGTCTCCCAGCACTCGACCCAGGGTGACAATGAGGTTCTCTGGAACCTTCAACGGAATGTCGCCGGCCTGCCAGTGTTGGATTCAGGGATTGTCGCGGAACGGGGCGATGCAATGGATTCATAGATTGAAACACAGGCGCATAAGGAGCGATTCAGTCGAGCATGAAACATTCAATCGCTGGTGCCAGTAGCGATGAGAAAAGCTTAGAAAGACACGAAGCTCGGAACCTTCGTAACTCCCAATTTCCAGACCCATCGACATGGTTCTTCTGTCGAGAACCGGATCAGCGCACAGCGAGCATATTGAGTGCTGAAGGACTCATAATGACGTTTAGAATGGCGAATTCTAAGCTTGCCTGCAGATCTTCCGTGTTTGCAACGTAAGGGGCTCTGGGAGTGGCCCGGGGCTGCAAAGCACAGCGAGCATATAAAACGCTGAATACTCGCGGATTCTAGGCTTGCCTGCAGATCTTCCGTGGCGGCAACGTAATGGATCGTATCCTCCTCGGGAGTGGCTCCGGGTCGCTCCTTCAGCGTGACTTTGCACGGAGGCAGCCCGTTCGCGTTCATCCAATCAAGAAGCTCCGTATCCGAGCTCTGCGACGCCGTCGCACTCTCGGGAGCGACATTGACGGCTGAGATGCGAACGCTTCGCCTGTCGCACCGTTGGATGCGAGCACTGCGGTTACCAGTAGTCAAGCGGGGAATGGCATTTTGTAGCCTAGAAGAAGAGGCTAAGCCACGTGTTCCATTGCTAGGCGTAGTGTGAAGCGGCTTCAGCCCAACCGCGTGGCTGCAGCACAACGAGCTTGCTACGACCATGGCGGCTAATCAACCTGGTAATCCCACAAAAATAGCTAACTGGCTAAGCAATGGAGGAAAAGCCTGAAAGCAGTGAGACTTGGTTCAGAAATAGAAGAATTTGGGTCTGTCTGGACGAGCATCAGGGAGAACGTCCGTATTGGTTCGAGGAGGGTGGTGATTGGTTGACAACTTATCTGGTTCACTCGTGGACGCATTTGATTCGTTGAGGCACAGATCTCTCGCCTTTGTCTCATAACCTTCTTAGTGCAATTCTATGATTTCATTACTTTTACTTGCTCCATAACATTCTAAAATGTCAATGCTAGACAAAAACACTTCTCAATATCATTTTCTGTTTCCAGAATGTCAGCACTCTTCACAGTGTATCGAGTTAACGTTTCCAGCGAGTACTGACATGGATTTGCCCTCTGCAATCGGATTTCGCGAAACTTCTTTTACACGCCTCTCGTTCCAGATAGGTGTTTTTTGGTCTCTGGTTTCTCAAAGCATATCGTGGTCGTGCGGGAGAAAAGGGCGGACTATCTAGCGATAACGCCCGGATTCCCGCTGCTACTACTAGAGTCTGGTGACGTGCGAGCTCGCCGCGAGGGAAATCGGATCTGGTGAGAGAGAGCGGGGAAAGCCGCGAGGGTAACCAGATTTGGTGTGTGTATGCGGACACGAGAGAATGGTGAAAAGCCGCTCACACATATGCGATTAGGGTGGGATGATTGAAGGGCCTTTCAGTTATCGTTTTGAGGACCTTGGCTGAATGGAAATCAATTATGAGAATTCTCAAAAGTGATTTCCATATGACTGTGTTGCACCCTGTGACGCTGTTACACTGTGACTTTATAACCGTGTAACGACTCAACGTCGCCAGTAACTTACGTCACTCAGATAACGAACACACGCCATCTGCGTTAACAATTTCACCACGCTCGTTCTGTGCTGCGACGTCACGCAATCTGGACCCGTCACGTCACGTCATTCACCATTTTTGTGCTTCCTCGCTGACTTTTGAGTCGACTCAAAAGTCACCACGCAATCTGCACCCGTCACGTCATTCACCATTTTTGTGCTTCCTCGCTCATTTCTCCCTCCTTCCCCTCCTCTCCTCCTCCCTCCCTCCTCGCCTCCTCCCGCCTTGTTCTACCCCCGCCCCCCCTCCCACCAGCAACCATGGCAGTGACGGAGGTGACGTCAGCAGAGGCATTCGAAGCAGCGGCCAAGGAAGGGGCGCCAGTGGCCGTGCATTTCTGGGCCGCATGGTGCGAGCCGTGCAAGCACATGGATGTTGTTTTTGGGCAACTGGCAGTCGAAAACCCCCATGCCAAGTTTCTGAGGGTAAGTACGCACTGAGAACATCTGAATGCATTTCTGGGCGGCATGGTGCGAGCCGTGCAAGCACATGGATGTGGTGTTCTGGCAGCTCGCAGCCGAAAACCCCCACGCCAAATTGCTGAGGGTGAGTGAGCAGTGAGAACAGCTGAATGTCCTTCTGGGGGGCATGGTGCGAGCCGTGCAAGTACATGGACGTTGTATTCGGGCTGCTGGCAGCAGAGAATCCACATCACATGCCAAGTTCCTAAGGGTCGGTGAGTCAGCACTGGGGGAAATCTGATTGCATTTCTGGGCGGCATGGAGCGAACCCTGCAAGCACATGGACGTGGTGGTTGGGGAACTCGCAGCAGAGAACCGCCATGCCAAGTTCCTGAGGGTAAGTCAGTACAGAGAACAGTGGCCGTGTATTTCTAACCAGCATGGTGCAAGCCATGCAATGCAAGCACATGGACGTGGTGGTTGGGGAACTCGCAGCAGAGAACCCCCATGCCAAGTTCCTGAGGGTACCGTAACTTAGCATTGAGAAGATTTTATGATGCGAATGCTTCGAGTGGTGTGAGCCGTGCAAGCACATGGATGTGGTGTTCGGGCAACTCGTTGCAGAGAATCCGCACGCCAAGTTTCTGAGGGTAAGGAAGCACCTAGAACATCTGAATGCATTCCTGAGCGGCATGGTGTGAGCCGTGCAAGCACATGGATGTGGTGTTCTGGCAACTCATTGCAGAGAATCCCTATGCCTTGAGTGTCCCTGAGAGTGAGTAAGCACTGGGTTTATCGGGTACAGGGCTTGGCTTGAGCTGATTGATTTTCGGAACGGCATGGTGCAAGCGCTGCAATCACATGGGCGTAGTGTTTGGGCTTCTGACAGCTGGAAACCCCTATGCCAATCTCTTGAAAGTGAGTACTACCACCAAGCAAAGGTTGGAGCTCTTTCTTTGCCTCCTCCGCCCCCTTCCTCCATTTTTCTGTGTTCCACCAACCGCTTCCCCCCTCGTATCTCTCCCTCCCTCCTTTCCTTTCCTCTCCCTTTGCTCCCCCCTGCTGCCCTTCCAACCCCCTCATGCACAGGTGGAGGCAGAGGAGGTACCGGAACTTTCTGAGGCATACTCTGTATCGGCTACACCCTTCTTCGTCTTCCTATCTCCTTCGTCCCCTATCTCCCCCTTGCTCGTGCACAGGTGGAGGCAGAGGAGGTACCGGAACTTTCTGAGACATACTCTGTATCGGCTGTACCCTTCTTCGTCTTCCTTAAGGTGCTCCTCACTCCTCGCTTCCTTGCTTCTGTCTTTGTAGAAGTGTCACGCGCGCCTCAATAGCCGAGATGTACTCTGCTGTGTTGGCCGTGCCGTTCGTCCTTTCTCAAGGTGCTCCGCTGCTCCGCATGCCTTCCGAGTTGACTTTTGAGTCGACTCAAAATGTACTCTGCTGTGTTGGCCGAGGTGTCGTTCGTCCTTTCTCAAGGTGCTCCGCATGCCTTCTTACCTCATCCTGAAAGCATTCTTTATTCATACCTGATTTGTACTTCTACCTTGAAGCATCCATACTTTTTGTATCTGCTGGTTGTTGTCCGACCCTGTTCTTTGACTTAAGGTTTGGATGACTGACAAGTAGGACAGGGGTGCATGCGTCTTTATTGCCAGAAAAAGAAAGAAAGAAAAAAAACAATATATGACTACCACTCACGCTCCGTAGAATGATAAGTCGCATTGCTTTGACTCACCCTCTTTTTGAGGCGCCTACAAAATCGTATCATAACTCTAGTACAATGAGACATGGTACTACAAATCCGCACTGTCCCTTAGACTCTTGGTAATATATCAGAATATGCTCTCTCTATGATGAGATGAGGTGTTCAATCCTTCACCCGCCCGTGGAGTTCAAAGCTCGCACTGACTCAACTCAACAACGCATCCCCGTCTACTTCTACGCTTCCCTCCCTCAACAGGATGGCAAGGTGGTTGACTGTGGTTGACAGACTTGAACGACCTAGCTAGCATAGCACACAAGGTGACCCAGCACGTCGCTGCACCCCCCTCCTCCACCAACTTCCATTTTGCATTTTCCTCCACTCTTTTCTCTTTTCTTGCAGGATGGCAAGGTGGTGGATCGACTGGAGGGAGCCAACCCCCCCGAGCTAGCCCACAAGGTCGCACTGCACGTCGCTGCACCCTCCTTTGCCATCAACCAACTTCCCTTGCCATTCCTGCCCCCTTCTTCCCCTCTTCCTGCAGGATGGCAAGGTGGTGGATCGACTGGAAGGAGCCAACCCCCCCGAGCTAGCACACAAGGTGGCGCTGCACATCGCTGCACCCTCTGCTGCCACCAACTTTAGTGCTGGCGGCTCTGCTGCTGCTGAAGTCATCGAATCCGTTCTTCACTCCGCTCGCACCGCCGCTTATCCCGCTGCTGCTCCGCCTGCTGCCTCTTCTGCTGCTGCTGTTGCTCAGCCAGAGCAGCCGTCCCGAATGATCGCCCCGCCCGCAGGTTCGGACAAGCCGAAGCTGTCCCCGGACCTGAAGGCTCGGATCGAGGCTCTACTGGCCTCCCACCCAGTACTCCTATTCATGAAAGGGTCCCCCAGCGCCCCCAGATGCGGATTCTCCTCTAAGGTTGTGTCTGTGCTGGAAAAGGACTTAGGGTCTGCGGCGGCCGGTGCGTACGGGTCCTTTGATATTCTGCAAGATGAGGAGGTCCGGCAGGGTTTGAAGGTGTATAGTGACTGGCCGACTTTCCCGCAGGTGTATTGCAAAGGGGAGCTGCTTGGGGGGTGTGATATTGTGCTGCAGATGCACGAGAGCGGGGAGTTAAAGGAGGTGTTTGCGGAAAAAGGGGTGCTGGGAGGCGGGGCGAAGGGAGACGCAGCAGGAGGAGGAACAGGAGCAGTGGCGGCAGGTGGGGCAGGAGCAGGAGCGGCAGGAGCAGCAGCGGTGGATGGGGAGGGTGATGGGGCGAAGGGGTTGCAAGAGCGGCTGAAGGCGCTCCTCTCGTCTTCGCCTACCATGCTGTTCATGAAGGTAGGTTGGAGTAGGTTGGGTTGCGTTGGGGTGTGTGTGACAGCCTGTCATTTGACTGATGCTAAGTGGCTGAAGGTGCTCTCTCTTGTCAAGAAGGTGCCCGCCATGCTGTTCAAGAAGGTATGTTAGGGTAGGATGGGGGTGTATGCGATACCCTATCCTCCCACTGACGCTAGGTATGTCAGAGGAACACCACTGACGCTAGAGTGCTCGAAGTTCCTCTTCCTCCCATCATCACCTGCCATGCTGTTCATGAAGGCAGGGCGAATGAGCTGAGAGTGGTGTGAACAGACCATGTAACAGATTGTCGATAGGAGAGAGGGGTTAGGAATAGGCACTGGGAGTATGCACATGATGTGTATACTCGTGATGCACAGGAATATAGACTGAGTCTATACTGGAGTCACCGGACCGGAGCAGCCTCAGTGTGGGTGCAGCTTGAAAGTGGTTGACGCCCTGAGGAGAGACAGGGTCTGACCGTCTGCCTTTTCCCCTCGGTCTCATGCGTGTGCCCATAGCCTCCCCCAAAGCCTCCCCCAAAGCCTCCCCCATCCCATGCAATACTCGATGCTATCTGTTGATTCCCTCCTTTTGAGGCGCCTCAAAAGTCGGTCTCGCTCCCCCCATCCCATGCAATACTCGATGCTATCTGTTGATTCCCTCCTTTTGAGGCACCTCAAAAGTCGGTCTCATGCGTGTGCCCATAGCCTCCCCCATCCCATGCAATACTCGATGCTATCGGTTGATTCCCTCCTCTGGGGCACACCAGAGGAGCCCCGGTGTGATTTTCTGCTGCAAGGTGGTCTTTGGCCTTCAGATTTGCTCTCATCGCTGCTGTTGTTCCACACTCTCCTCCCTTGCCCTCCGTGGCTTTCCTTCTCAGGGCACACCGGAGGAGCCCCGGTGTGGGTTCAGCCGGAAGGTGGAAAACTCACTGAAGTCAGAAGGGATCCCATTGGGCAGATTTGACATTCTGGTGAAGCAGTGAGGCAGGGTCTAAACACATGCCTTTCCCGCTTCCTTCCTTCCTCTGCTGTGTACCCATGACCATCCCCATCCCTTGCCTTCTCAGGGCACACCGGATGAGTCAGTGAGGCAGGGGCTGACTCATGCCTTTCTCCCCCTTGCCTTTTTGTGCTATGTACCCATGACCATCCCCATCCCTTGCTATTCAGGGAAACACCGGAGGAGTCGCGGTGTGGGTTCAGCCGCAAGGTGGTGGACGCACTCAAGTCAGAAGGCATTTCCTTTGGCAGTTTTGACATTCTCACGGATGAGGCAGTGAGACAGGGGCTGAATCATGCGTTCCTCCCCCTTGCCTTTCTGTGCTGTGTACCCATGACCATCACCATTCCTTTGCGTCTCAGGGCACACCGGAGGAGCCGCGGTGTGGGTTCAGCCGCAAGGTGGTGGACGCACTCAAGTCAGAAAGCATAACCTTTGGCAGTTTTGACATTCTCACGGATGAAGCTGTGAGGCAGGGGCTGAAGGAGCTCTCCAATTGGCCCACGTACCCACAGCTGTATCACAAGGGCGAGCTGATTGGTGGATGCGATATTGTGCTTGAAATGAAGGCCAATGGGGAGCTTAAAGCCGAGCTTGGAGGGTGAAGCTCAGTGTACCGAGTATAAGTAATATTCCCCTATACTACCAACCACTAAAAAAAGGCGAGCTGATTGGTGAATGTGGTACTGTGCTTAAAAAAATGAAAGCAGATCAGAAGCCAAGGCAGAATGGGGAGGGTGAAGCGGTTGTATGTACCTTTCTTGTGGAGATACCTCAAGTGTATGATATCGTGCCAACCAATCGTGAGATGATGAAATCTCATACATTTGAGATCAATGAGGGTCTTCAGGAGAGCATGCACCAGAAGAGTGGGGAAAGGAGTGGGAAATGGGAAGAAGGGGTTATGGAGGAAGACGTGGGGGCAGGAAGGTGGGGAAACCAAAAGCGAAACCGCGCTGCTACAATACGTCAGCCGGGAATCGAACCCGGATCTTTTGCTTGGAAGGCAAATATCCTAACCATTGGACTACTGACGTATGATGCTTCAGCAAGTTTGATTTTAACAATCGTATAATTATTTTCTAACTGGCTGCAAGCAGAGCCCAAGTACCAGGGTATTCCTTCATCTTCAGAGTTTGAACCTCTTTTTGCTTGACTTCTTTGTGCCACTACAAGCTCACGAGTTGCAGTCTATATAATGCAAGGTGTGCTACAAGCCTCAAATCCAGCTCTACCAACTAATGGACAACGAATTGCTGTCCCTGCGACCCTCTAATATCCCGTCTGCCCGGAACCATAGATACTTGTGCTAAGCGAAGGCCATTTTACAGCCTTTTCACCATGGACAGGGCGAGCAGAATGATTGCCAAGGTTCTAGACGACTCCCATTATCTAAATTGCCTCCGGTTGATACCGTCCCTCTAGACCATGCCCATGCCTCTGGAGCTGCTGCTTCTGCCCAGCCTGGCCGCACTTGCACTGGCAGGAGTGGCAGTGCTGCTCGTAATCCCCCCCACCTTGCTCCTTGGACTGGCAGGCCTTGACCCCAGCCGCCTCTCCTCCCTCCGCTTTTCCTCCTTCTCCTCTTTCTTCTCCTCCCTCTTCTTCTCATCTTTCTTCTCAGCTTTCCGCTCTATATCTCCCTTAACCTTTCTCTCTCCCTTCTTGTCCACGTCAGCCTGTGCCAGCCTGGCAGCCACTGCCCCGTGCTCCGCCCTCAATCGCGCCAGCTCACCCTCGGCTGTCTGCGCCGCCAGCTTGGACTCCTCCAGCTGTGCTGCCATGTCAGCAAGCCTTGCTGCCAGCTCACCCTCGTGCGACTGCTGTGCTGCACTGCTGTCTGCTGCCCCTGCGCTCGCCATTGCACTGGCAGGGGGCAGGCACACACAAAAAAAAAAACACCTAAGTTGAGTTGAGTGGTCAGGAACAGGGAGAAGACTGAGAACAGTCCACTAAAACAGGGACAGGAGGCAGTGCCCTTTCAGGCACCTCAGACTCACACCCACCACTCACCACCCCTGCTTGACTCACCGCTTGAGCTGCTCCTTGTAGCGGTTGTTTGCCTCCAGCGCCTCTGCCAGCTCTGTCTCCAGATCGCCATCTTCTATGCGTGTGCAGACAGAACCCCAATCCTACATTCCACCACCTCTGACCACCACCGACCACCTCCCACCACCGCTCACCACCTCCCGCACCCCACCCCACTCACCGCTTGAGTTGCTCCTTGTAACGGTTGTTGGCCTCCAGTGCCTCTGCCAGCTCCGTTTCCAGAATCGCCATCCTCTCTGCCACGCCGCTCGCCATGCGCTGTGCCGCTGCCTTGCGAGGGTCCTGAGGATGCACGGGGCGGATTGGGGATGAGATTGGATTAGATATGAGGGAGTGAGAGTGGGGTTATGTTTTGTTAAGAAACCCATCCCTCCCACCCATAACACCCACCCCTCTCTCCATGTCCCTCACCTCCTGTGCGTGTGCCTCTGTGCTGGATCCCTTGAGTGCTGCCAGCGCACACCGCAGCTCCGCCTCCCTCACTCGCGCCTCCCCCACCTGCTGCTGCGCCTTGCGCAACTGGAGGGAAGGGAACACATGACACATGGGGGTGGGGGGAGCCAGGTTGGGGACGAATGCTTAACATGGGCGTTATGAGGGTGGGTACGAGGTTTCTAGGAATCGCAAACAAATCTGCGCCTCTTTCACTCGCACCTCCCCCACCCGCTGCTGCGCCTTGCGCAACTGAAGGGAAGGGAACACAGGGCTTGGGGAATGGAGGAAGTTGTGTTGAGGGATCATTGCAGGTCGCATGATGTGGCATGTGAAATGTGTCCTTATCTTGAACTCTTGTTAATATGATACAATATACCTTACCCCCATGCACAGTCCTCCATCCCATGCAAGCACTCCCATGCACATACCCCGGATCCCATACCTGTGACTTCCATCTCATGCCCACGCCAATAACCCAATCCCTACCTCTTGGTTCAGCCTGGCACTGGCGTTGTCCCCTTTGCTCCCCAGCAGCTCATTCGCTGCCTCCAGCTGCTCCAGCCGCTCGGTCAGGCTACGCTCCCTCGCCTCTGCTGTTGCTCTGCTGCTCTCCAGAGACTGCTCAAGAGATCGCACTTGGTCCTGCAAGCCATGCACACGAGTGGAGTGGGTTGGGATGGGTTGAGTGCGGTTTTGAGGTGTCTCAGAATCGCCTTCAGCCGCTCTGGCAGGCAGCGCTCCCTCGCCTCTGCTGTTGCTCTGCTGCTCTCCAGAGACTGCTGCAGCGGCCGCACTTGGTCCTGCAAGAAGTAGAAATGGGTTGAAAGCGGTTCGCGGTTGGATTGAGAAATTGGAGCACAGAGCTACGACATCTGGTAGGGAAAGCCAACATACATTCTGCAGCTTCATCTTGCTCCTGGCACTGTCTCCCTCTTATTCCCCCCCTTCCCCGACCATGCATTCAATGAAAATCCCGGCTCTCACCTCAAGCTTGCCGACTTGGCTCTCCATCCCGCCACCTCCCCCAGATGCAGCCTGCCTGGCGGCCTCCAGCTGTCTCTCAGCAGCAGCCAGCGCCTCTGCCTTGCGCTGCAGCTCGCCCTCCAGAGCCATCGTCCTCTTCCTCAGCTCCTCCACCTGCCTCTCCGCCCCGCCCTCCCCTCCCCGCGCCGACATTATCCCCCCCGCCCGCCCCCCGCGGGCGAATGCACCGCCCCCTCCCCCGCCCATCATCCCCCCTCCGCCTCCCCCCATTGGCCTGCCTTTCATTGCGCTCCCAGCGCCCATACCCACAGCGCCCACACCCATCCCCCCATCCCCCTCTCCTTTCACCTCCGCCAACTGCTTTTTAAGCTCCCCATTCTGCTGCTTCAGCTGCCGCACCTCCTCTGCCAATGCACTTGCAACCGCTGCCCCCGCCCCCCCCACACTCCCCCCACCACCTGCAGACCCACCCCCACCAGACACACTCGCCAGCTGCTCCACCCGCTCCTCCAAATCCCTCACCACTCCTTCCAACCGCTTCTTCTCCTCTCTCAACCCCACCACCTCCCCCGCCTTAGCTGCCAATTCCCCCACCTCCCCCTCCAGCACCACATGCTTGGCCCGTAAATCCTCCAGCTCACTCAACCCCTCCTCCATCTTCGCCAGTTTAAGCGACAATGTAAGCCGTCTCTCCTCTAGCACCTGTTTCTCCCTCCGCAAAGCCACCAAATCGCTCTTCACCCGCTCCAACTCCTTCACTTTGGCCGCCATGATCCCCTGTTGGGCCACCAACGCCCGCTTCTCCCCCTCAAGCTCCTCCCTCACCGCTTCCAACCGCTTTACACCCGCCTCCGCCTCCCCCAGCTGCCGAATCAGCTCGTCCCGCTCCTCCTCAACCCCCCTCAGCTTCACCACCGCTTCTCCCGCCTCTGCTGCTTCCCTCTTCAGCCCCTCCGCCCTCAACCACCCACGCAGCTTCCCTACTGCGCGCCGCAGCCTTCTCAGCAGCCACAGCCCGCCGCTGACTCTCCACTTCAAGCTCTGCCTTGTTCCTCTCGGCTATCGCATCCCTCAGCTCTGCTTCCGCCCGCCTCAACCGGTCCTCCAGCTTCCCCTTAGCGGCCCTCAGCTCAGCTGCTTCCACCGCACTCGTATTCTCCCTTCTTAAGTTACCACTCGCGCTCACAGACGCGGATAGCTGATCAGTCAGCAGTTGCACCTCCGCCTGTAGCCGCGCTACAGCCGCCTGCCGCTCCTCCTTCTCCCGCCTCTGCCCCTCCTCCGCCTTGCTCGCCCTCGCCTTCGCCTCATCTCTATCCCTCTCCACCCCTTGCAACCACGCTGTAAGCTTCGCTTCCACCTCTTTCATCCTGGCCAGGTCCCTCCCCATCTGCTCCCTCACCCTCTCCCCCGCCGCCTCCCCTGCTGCCGCCCTCGCCTCTGCCGCCTCCCGCTTCGCCTCCTCCTGCCCCAGCACCCGACTAAACCGCTCCTTCTCCCGCTCCATCTCCTTCAACCGCCCCTCAAGCCCCTGCACCTCGCTCATCAGCTCCCCTTCTCTCGCCTCCGCCCTCTGCAACCGCCCGTCAAGCTCCTTCGCTCTCCCCGCCCCCGCCTTGGCCTCAGATGTCACCACCACCAGTTGAGCCTGCACCTCTGCTACCCTCTCCTCTGCCCTCCTCTTCCCCGTATTCGCCTCCTGCAGTTCCGCCTCTAGCTTCCCACACGCCCCTTCCAACCTCAACACCCTCATCTCCACCTCCCTCTTTCCCGCCCCGGACTCCCCAGCCACCTTCCGAACCTCCGCCTCAAGCTCGGCAATCCGCTTCCGAGCCTCCTCCAGCTCCTTGCTCTTCCCACGCCGATCCCCACCGCCTAAACCAGACAGCTCCCTCACCTCCCACTCCGCCAGCCTCGTCTCTAGCGCCTTCACCTGCCCTTCAAGCTCCACAATCCGCCTCCTCGCCTTCTGATTGCTCTCCCTCATCTCCTCCACCTCACTGGCGCTCATACCACCGTTGCTGCGCCTCACAGCAGCAGCAGAATCCGCCTTGGCATCATCTAGAAGCTCCTGCATAGCAGACAACTGCAACTCCACCTCTTGAACCCGAGACTCCGCCAATCTCTTCCCCTCGTCCAGCAGCCGCACCTGCTTCTCCAAACCCGCCCTATCGCTCCGCCACGACCCCATCCCCTTCTCCAGCTCCTCCATCTTCCCCTCCACGTCACCCTTCTCCTCCCGCAGCTTCTCCTTCTCCTTCGCCAGCTCAGCAGCCCGCGCGCGCCACTTAGACGCCACCTCAGCAAGCAGCGCCACCTTCCCAGCAGGATCCAACCCTTCCGCCCTCGCAGCCAGACTCGCAGAATCCTCCAAGTCAATCCCACCAACCCCATTCTCCAGCACCTGGGCCAGCCTCTCACTCAGCTCTTTTCCTGCCTGTCCCTCATCAGCACACTTCTTCTCCAGCCGCCCCACCTCCTCCACATACCTCGTCAGCTGACTCTCCACGTCAGCCCGCGCCTCCTTCAAATGCTCCACCTCTAGCTCATGCCTCCTCTCCGCCTCCTCCCTCGCCCGCCGCCCCGCCGTCAGCAGCTTCTTGGTACTTTCCAACTCCGCCTCCACCTCCCTAGCCCTCCGTTCATACTCCTCTAAGATGCTAAGCCTGTCATTCGCGCGCTGGGTGGCCATTTCAGTGACGCGCACCTTGCTGCGCAGCTGCACCACCTCCTCCTTGGCGGCCTGCGCCTCCGCCCGCTGCACCCGCAGCTGCTCCAGCAGCTCCTGCACGCGCGCCTGCAGCTTCCGCGCATCTTCCTCGGACACGCTGCTGCCGCCCTCGCTGCTCACAGCCCTCACCGCAACCTCTGGTTTCTTAGTTTCCTCTACAGGGGCAGGGGGAGGGGGCGGGGGCGGAGGCGGAGATGGGGCCGCAGGCGGCGGCGGGGGCGGGGGAGGCGGGGTGCACTTCGCGCAGAGCGCAGGGGCGGACGGCTCAGAGCATTTCGGACACAGGCACGGGGCAGGGGGAGCAGGAGGCGGGGGCGGCGCCGGGCGCTGCTGCCGCAGCTGCACAGGCTGGTACGGCTTCGGCTTGGGTTTCGTCTGTAGCAGCTGCGCTATACTCGCCGGAAGCCCTCTCCCACCCCTAGCCGCGACCAACTCCTGCTTCAGCTGCTCGATCAACACCTCCTTCTGCTCAGCCTCCTTATTCGCCGTGTTCAATTCCGTAGCTAGCTCAAGACTCTCTGCTGTGAGCTCCTGCGCTTCTTTCTCCAGTTCTTCCACCTTCTGTTGGAGCTCTAACAGCACGCTCTCATCACAAGTCATGCCCGCCGTCCCGCTGCTCTCCTGCCCGTCATACCCTGCGTACCGCTTATTGCATCCTCCGCCTCCCCTAACCTCCCCCTCGCTCTCTGTCGCGAGCTCCAGCTCATCCCTCAGGTTCCGCGGAACCAGCCCCGCGCGCCTGTCCGCCCCGCCAAACAAACTCCTCTTAACCGACGACTGCACGCTCCCTCCCACGCCGCCCATCCCCTCCGAAACCCCCAACCCGCTCAGACCCAACCCGTCCATCCCCCCATTCCCCTGCGCAAGCTCCGCCAGCCGCCGGTTCCAGTCCGCCTCCTTCTCCTCCATCTGCTTCTGCAGCCGCTTCGCCACCGCTTGCGCCTCCCGCCTATCCTCAAACAATTCCTCCGCGTCCCGCCTGTACTTCCCCGCCTCTCTCTCCGCCTCCTCAAGCGACTTAGACAGCTCCACGTTATCCCGTTGAAACACCTCCAGCTGCGCTGATAAGCTATCAACCGTGCCCTTGAGATACTCCACCTCTTCCATCAGCATCTCCACCTCCCTGCCGCCCCCCATCCCCCCGCGCATGCCCCCGGGTCCGCCCATGCTCCACTCGCTCCCCTCCCCCATCCCCCCGCCGCCCACTTCCCCGCCTCCCCGCCCCATCCGCAGCTGGTTCAGCTCCTCCTGAAGCTGATCCCTCTCCCCTTTCAACTCCCCTATCGCAATATCAGCCCTCTGGTCCTGCGTGATCGCCTCAGCCAGCTGGCTTCTCAGACTCTCCACCTCCCTGGTGAGATTTCGCGCGTTCAGCTGGTATTTCACGCAGTCCCGCTGCAGCTCCTCTATAGCCGCCTCCGCCGCCGCCAGCTCCCCCGGATAGTCCCGCATAACCGCGCCTCCTCCGCCGCGCCCGTGCACTGCCCCAAGCGGGTTTGTCAGGGAGCTTCCCACGGAGCCTAAGGGGCTGAACCCGTCGGGGATGGGACCAGCAGGGACGGGCGACATGGCGCCTGCGCTGGGCGAGGGCAGCGCGCCGTTCCCCTTTGCGCCCGCGCTGCCCCCCCCCTCCGCTGCCTCCCCCTATCCCTCCCCCGCGTGCTCCCCCCCTGGTGGTGGTTACCATACGCGGCGCTGGCCGCGCCGCTAGCAGCACTCCCCCCGCCTCCCCCGCTTCCTGCCCTGCCCGATGTCTGGTAATACTCAGGGTAGGCCAGACGCGTGTGCTGGTGCTGCTGCTGGTGCTGCGGAGTTGCCACAGGGGACGAATTCATACTCGAGGGCGGGGAAACCAGGTGCCCCTCCCCCGGACCACCCCCGCCCGCGCCCATCCCCCCCGCCTGCCGCGCTCGCCCCGCCTGACTCCGCCCACGCGGGCTTATACCCCGCGCCTGTGCCAGCAGTCCCAGGAACCGTGCCCGTGCTACCAACCATACTAACCGGCGTCTGCGGCGTCCCCCCCGGCCCCTTACTCCAGCTTCCCAGCGCTCCACGGGGAGACATACCAGTCATAGGAGTCCCAACCCCCCCACCACCACCTCCACCACTACCACCGCCACCCACAGACCCCATCCCGCCAGGCGACTGCAGCTCCTGCAGCTCATCTATATACTCATTCTCCCCAGTCATCTCCTCGGGCGTCCTCTCCCCATACTCGCTCCCCTCCATCCCTGTGTACCCCATCCCAGTCGCGCCCACGGACGGGGTGAGCCCAGGCGACAAGGCATCCGGCATGCCCCCCTGTGAGGTTCCGTCTGAGGCAGAGTCTAAGGCGTATTGCCGCCGCCTCACCTCCTCCCGCTGCTGCCGTTGCCACTCGCGTTCCATTCTCACCCGCCTCGCTTCTTCCTCCAATTCTTCCTCTGCCTGCCGCATCTCTTCCCTCTGCTGCTCTTCCAGTAGCTTCCGCTGCCGCTCTTGCTCCTGCCGCTTCCGCTCCCTCTCCCTCTCCCTCTCCTTCTCTCTCTCCCGCTCCTTCTCTTTCTCTCTCTCCTCCTGCTCCTGTCTCTGCCGCTCTCTCTCCTTTGCTGCCAGCTCCAGCTCCCGCTGCTTCTCTTTCTCCTTAGCCTCTCGCTCCCTTTCTTTCTCTGCCTCCCTTTCCCTTTCTCTTTTCCCTCTCCCTCTCCCTCTCCATTTCTCTCTCCTTTTCCCTCATCTCCCTCTCTTTCTCCCGCTCGCGTTCCTTTAGCCTCTCCCTTTGCTCCTTTTCTCTTTCTCTAAGCCTCTCACGTTCCTCATGCTCCCTCTCCCTCTCCTTCTCCCTCTCCCGCTCTTTCCCTCTGCTCCTGTCCCTCTCTCTTTCTCTCTCCCTGTACCTGTCCCCGCCTCTTTCTCGTTCCCTCTCTTTTTCCCTGTACCTATCTTCATCCCTATCCCTATACCTATCCTTATCCCGTTCCCTTTCCCTTACCTTCTCCCTTTCTCTCTCCTTTTCCTTTTCCCGCTCCCTTTCCTTCTCTTTTTCCCTCTCCTTCTCCTTCTCTCTCTCTCTCCCTCTTGACTGCGATCTCACTCTCACCGCCCCATGCTGCTTCTCCTTCCCCGCATCCTTCGGTTCCGCCACTTGCGCATGCACGCGCGCGGGGGAAGGGTCGCGCCCAAACCGTCCGCGCAGGGGGGACGCATGGCGCGGGGAAGCGTCCTTATTCCGCCAGAAGAAAATCCCCCCTCCGCCTCCGCCTCCGCCCCCCGCGCCGTCCGTGTCCACACTGAGACGCAACCCCTCAGCCTCCGCAGGATGCTCCTTGCCGCCCGCGCGCGCCTGCGCCTCCCCCCCGTGCGCTGCTGCGCCCTGCCCCTGTTGCGCTCATAGAGGGCATCCGCGGAGTCGTTGTCGTCCTGGGGAGTCAAGCGCGGGGAGCAGTGTCATGCAAGCAAGGCGTTTAGCGGGTTCTAAGCCGAAAGCAGTGCAATCGCGCTTCCTCCTTATTCTCCCCTACCACCCCAACCGCCCTAAAAAAAAGCAGATGGATTCTTAACTGACCTGATTCGACGGAAGGCTGGAAGAGCGACCGATTGAAGGGGTCGCTGCAACTTGGGCTCCTCTCTGCTGCTGCTTGGGGCTGCTGATGCTGGCGGTGATGATGATGATTGTTGGTTGGCTCGTTCGCGTGGTAATACTTCTGCAAGCCCGAGAGATAGAGGGACAGAAAATGTGTTTATCAATGCTGGCGGTGATGGTGATGATTGTTAGTTGGCTCGTTCGCGTGGTAGTGCTTCTGCAAGTCCGAGAGATAGAGGGGACAGGCAAAACGTTACCCTGTAGGCTGAGAGTGCAATAACTTTTCTTGTAGGCTCATAGCATTTGAGAAATTGAACCCAAGAAGCTTGCTCAAGGGATGAAAAAACTTGCTGCACTCACCTGCCCCTTGGTGGGTGTGGTGGTGTTGGGCAGGTCGATGCTCGACAGCACGTGACCTATCACAGATAAACCTTCCAAACATGCGCCAGGCCTACCCTGTCTCCCTGCTGCGCCTATCTACTAGCCCTTGCCGCGCCTACCTGCCCCTTGGTGGGCGTGGTGGTGTTGGGCAGGTCGATGCTCGACAGCACCTGGTCACTCGCGTCCAAACCTTGCAGATATGCTCCAGGCCTACCGGTACCTGGTCCCCTGCTGCGCCTACCCTCCACTTGCCCACCCACCCCTGTGCTGCACTCACCTGCCCCTTTGTGGGCGTGGTGGTGTTGGGCAGGTCGATGCTCGACAGCACGTCACTCGCGTCCGACTTGCTCTTGCTCATCCGCTTCGGTCCTGCCGCCGCCGTTCCATGCACCCCGCCCCCTGTCCCCCCTGCTCCCCTTGCGACCGCTGCTGCGCCTGTTCCTGCGCCTGCCCCTACAGCAGCAGCAGCTGCTGCTTTGCCGGCTGGCTTCTTGGGCGTGGAGTTCCTCCTCGTTCTCGCTCTGCCCCGTGTCTGACTCCTCGCCCTCCCTGCCACATGGGAACGATCAGGATGGAAACTCACAAGATGGTCAGCGGATCGAGAGGGCGTAATGGCAAGGTGGACGAGCGGGGAAAGCGAAGAAAAAGGCTCGACAACGTGAGGGAAAGGAAGAGGCTAGGACCCCCACGCCTATGGATTCTGAGCCGAAGAGTGCAATTAACCAATAGGAAGTTGCAGAGCGAGCTGGTTACGATCATGGTAGTTACGGAGTGATGCTGGATACAGAGTGGTTGGGAAGGAGGGATGAAGGGGGATAGAGGACTCAAGGGTGCGATGGCTGACCTGGGATCGCGAGACGAGCATTGAATGGTCACCTGAAACACAATGGCCGCGTAGGAAACAGGAGGAAACGCATAGAAAAGCACAAATACTTCGTTCTACAATTCAACGGCACCTCAGAAACCGTGCAGGAAAACATGAGGGAATACAAGATCAAAGCACACAAGGTAAGGAGGTCAGAAGGGAAGTGCAGTGCTGATGTTCGCACCAACCACGCAGAAATTATGCGCACTATCCGGCGCAATGCACGGCCACTCACATGCAGCACGGTGCCTGCGGGGCAGTACTTGAGCGGCAGCGCGCGCTGGTCGAGCTGGTTAAAGCCTGCGAAGTCCGCGAGGTTCAGCGTCGCCTCGCCCAGTATGCCGCCTCGCGTGGAGCCCTGTAACGCGTACAGCGGAGGTCAGAAAATGAGCGGAGGATGAACAAACGCCAAAGATGAAGGAAATTTCAGCGTCACACAATTCAAAGATTGAAGAAATGAAAACAGAAGTCAACGCACTCCTGAGCCTCTAGTGAGTGAGTAGGGATCTGGAGTATTTTTGTACTACTACTTTCGATTGCACATTTCGCAGTTGCAAGATAAAAAAAAACGCGTCTACTGGCTGCGTGATGGTCAAATTCACTCCACAAAAATCACCCTTGCGCTCACCACGGATGGACACCACAAGCCAGTGCACCTCCGTGAGTTTTAAGTAAACCAAAACTCACCCGTGGACACGATAAGCCGGTACACCTTCTGCTCGTAGCCTTTCCCTTTGGGATTCCTGGCGAGGCGAGTGACCTCGGTGACGGTGTCGGTCCATGTGCACGTGCCGTTCTTCACCACCCCCTTTGGCGTCTGTCCCTCGAGTTTCCCCGTGTCCACCGGAATCAGCGACACCACTAGCCTCTCGAACCCCGTCGCCGGCACCTGCCGTGTGTTTCAAGGACGAATAGGATACAAATGGAAGAACGCGTTTCAGCTGTTGGCTATTTCAGACGCGGCTTAGAAACGGACGGACCCCCTTATGTGTCTGCTCCTCGAGGGTCCCGTGTTCTGAAAATCAGCGACACCACCAGCCTCTCGCACCCCGTCGCTGGTAACCTGCCGTGTGTTGCAAGGACTGGTCCAGCAGCGCGCGCACGAGAAAAATGCGTGAGTTAAGAGTGAAAGAAGTGGAGAAAGGCCTGTTGTTCGGGTATCTACCGGAAGAAGTGCCTTCGCCAACCTGAAGCGATCTCCAGGGAAGCAACGATTGTGACTCTGATAAAGGCTCACTGACCCGGATGGGTGGAAAACCCAAATGAAACAGGTGAATGTGAGAAGCCTAATGCTCGTGCTAATGCAGAGACCAAGTGCAGTGGAAACCGTAGTTCTAAGATAAACGACGCATACTTGAAACGTGGCTATCCAGACGCAGCTGAATGTGCATGAAACGCTGACAGTAAGTACGGATGAAACGCTGACCGTTGCTTACCCGAGTAGCATGAAACCTAAACCGGAACTCGAACTTCTCCTTCTTGGACCCAAACGCCTTAAACATCCTGTCCGGTGTTCGAATTTCCGCTACTAATAATATTTAATATTTAACGGACTGCACCTCAACCAATCCGTTTTTTAGCCAACATGACGCAAACTGCTTAATATCTATCGGACTAGCAGCACGCGGACGCGGTTTGTATAGCTTAATTAGTAAATCTTTCTACAAATATATAATATTCTGCTCCACCCTGTCTATCCATAACAGACAAGGAGACTAAGGCGTGGCAAGGAAAGAGGAGCTACTGAGAGATGAAGTCCTGCCTCCCTGCCGAGTCAGTGAAGAGGGCCAACAACGGTCAGGCTTCCGACTCATTTGCATGGCTGCCTTGCTGCTCAAGGATGATTTGCACACCCCGCTCCTCAACTCCACTTATCGCCAGTGCGGTTCAATACGAATTACACACGGTAAACAAGGTATTCTGGTATTTACCGCTTGGGAGCGGAGCCAACCGAACTAGACCTCTGAATGTAGATCAAGAGTGTGCTTCCATCAACCTCATCTGGGACTGTGTGGCTCTTGACCCCTGGTTTTCGAACCGCCTCGGGATTGACGTTCAAGCAGGCTAATTTGGATGGGTTGGTCGGCTTGGCTCCCGGGCAGTTGGACCAGAGCAGTGCGGAAAAGTCCGCACCCTAATTGGTGGAGACACTCTCAAGGTGCCTGATCGCGCCAGTTTCCCGCTCACACCATTAGTTTCAGAACGAAAAGCGCGAACTGTGAAGACACCTATCAACCAAAGCGGTATGGCTTGTTTCCTGACAGATGCTGTCAGAGGGTAACGCGACGTAGGAATTCGTTACAACCACAAGCATGTATATACATTCTCAATTATCATATGATTTTAATATAATCTGAAGACCCACTTCTGCACAAATAAACTAAGATTAATATGTGTAATTTGAGTTCTCGAATTCCATTTTCTTGGTAATGTATTCAATCTTATTAAAATACATACACAATATAATATGCAAGGAAATTCTTTATTTATTTATTTATTTTGGATTAATAGTAACATTGCATTACCCCCTTTCATTTCCTTGCATACGGAGAAGAGCAGGTGCAATATCTGCTGAGGGGGTGTTTTAATAAATACCATAGGTGCTCACGTACACCAGGTATATTGTTATGGGTGCAATGAATCGAGGTAGCGATGATTGCACTAAGTGTCAAACGAGTACAAAATATGAGTGAAGGGATGAGCGAACATTTATACGCGAAACATGCAAACGGTAACGCGGTGCGTGCGAGCTAGCTAGTGCTACACTGTCAGTGAGATTCGGGCTAGTCCCGAAACGTAGGCCGACACGCCGGAGGCAGCCAGCAGTGCGAGGTTTGGTGAAACAGTGGCGCACAAAGTCGGCGAAGCCCCGTTAGCAGTAACGGGCGAAACAACTGCTGCTGCTGTACGCGATGTTGCGGGATGCGCTAAGGAATGTCGATAAAATTCCTTACACTACCCCCCCCCCCCCCCCCCACCCTCAAGAAGCCCCCTCCGCTACGCGAGTGCGTGTACATCGCGGAAACCCCAGTTCTTCAGGTATACTTGCAGGGCAGGGTGGTTTTCGATGTTGGCCAGGGGCACCCAGTTATCCTCAGTTGGTGTGCGGTCCTTCCAGCGAACGAGGAATTCAATCTGTTAGAATCTAGAATAGAACGAGAATGGATGAAACTAGGTAGGAGGGGGATACAAGTAGGAAACCCTAACAAAGCTGTACCCCCTCAGGCTAAAACCCACTATAGCCTACACAATATAAACATATAATGTTTGACACACCCCCATAGGCTAAGTGGGAGACAACCAAATGGTCACAAGACCAGTCAAAGCAAAGCAAAGCAAGCTCAGGGTGGATCTCAAGGAAACCACACAAATTCTGAGCACAAGCAAGTGGTCACAAGACCAGTTCACATGCAGGTTGATAGTATAACAAGAGATACAGTGATCACAACCTAGCAAGAGTAAACATGCAGGCATATATATAGAGACTCACAGTACAAGTAGAGTCAGAAGTAAGCAAGTGAGGCCCAGTAGGCACAAGGCCTAGAACAGTACAGAAGCGCTGATGGTCACAAGGCTGAAGCGCCTTGGTGAACACATCAGCAGTGTTGGCCCGAGTGGCCACGTAACGCAGACGAAGCTGACCGCGCTGGCTGCAGACCTCTCGAGCAAGGAATTAGCGCAGAGCGATATGCTTCGTTCTGTGCTCCAGTCTGTGCTCCTCACACAAGGCAATGGCAGCCTGTTGTCGACGTACAGCACTGGAGGAGAATGAGGCCGCTCTCCCAAGTCGGTCAACAGGTAGGTGAGCCAGCGTAACTCCTGTGCAGCCATGGCTGTGGCGTAGATCTCAGCCTCACAACTGGAGCTGAGAACAGAAGACGAGCGTGTAGAACGCCAAGAAACTGAACCAGAGCCAAGGCTGAAGGTGTAACCCTGAGACGACCGCTGAGTAGCCTGGTCGTCAGCCCAAGAAGCGTCTGTGTGTCCAGTGAGTACAACTCGGTCTCGTCCTCCAAGCACTAGCCCCATGCCCAACGTACTGCACAAGTAGCGCAACACCCTCTTAGCGGCATCCATGTGCTCCTTCCGGTGACGGCCAGGAGCGGAAAGCGCGCAAGGATGCTAAGAGGGTAGGCAAGGTCAGGTCGAGTGCAGGTCATCAGGTACATGAGGCAGCCCACAAGCTCTGGATACGGGCCGCTCGGCTCTACGGACTCATCCGAAGGCAGAGCTGAGAGCGAGTGACCCCGGTAGGCAGAGGAGTGGGCTGAGGCGAGGAGTACGTGAAGCGGAAGCGCTGAAGGACCTGCTGCACCATGTGTGACTGAGTCAAGGTGATGGTGCGCCGTGCTCTGTCCCGGGTGATCCGCAAGCCAAGATAGCTTGTCAGTTCACCCAGGTCTGTGCACGTGTGTCTCTTCTGCAGCTCCGACTTCACGTGGGCGAGTGCAACAGTGTCAGCAGTGGCAAAGACCAAGTCGTCGACGTACACGAGGATGTAGAACGGCGGCAGTGAGGTGTCGGTGCGTAGAAACAGTGACGGGTCAGCAGTAGAAGGAGCGAACCCAAGAGCCGCAAGTGTAGTCCTTAGTGTGTCGTGCCACTCACGTGGCGCCTGTCGGAGACCGTAGACTGGCCGCCGGAGGCTCCACTGGGTACCAGGAGGGAACGACCCAGTGAAGCCAGGTGGGCGGCGCAACCAGATCTCCTCGTGCAGGCTGCCCTGTAGGAAAGCAGTGCTGAAGTCAAGAGAGTGGAGCTCGTAGTCACGCTGAGCGGCGACGTGCAGCAGAACCCGAAGAGTGGTCATCTTCGGGGTCGGGGAGAAGGTCTGGAAGAAGTCAACTCCCTCTCGCTGACTGAAGCCTCGTGCAACGTAACGCGCCTTGAAGACAGGCGAGAACCCGGCGGCCGCTTCACCCTGAAAATCCACATGCCACTGACGATGTTCGCCCCAGGTGGGGTAACCTCGTCGACGTAGGTGCCTGTGGACTTCCAGGAAGCCATCTCTGCGTCCATGGCTGTCTGCCACTGAGAGGAGTAGGGACCCTCTATCGCCTCTGCGTAAGAGCGCGGAGTCGGGATGTCTGGTGCATCCGGGTCTCCCTCAGGGGCAACTAGCATGGACACGAGATGAGGTAAAGAAGCAGCGGCAAAGCACTCAAACTCCTCCTGCCTGTCCTCAAGGACGTCCGTGCCAAGAGCACACTCACCCCCGACGGACGGAGGACAGACAGACTCAGACTCAGCAACTAGGCTAGCGGCGTAGTCTAGACGACAAGCGGCAGCAAAGTCGACAAGCTCAGCAACTAAGGCAGACGCAGCAGTGGACTCAAAGGAGGGTCAGTGACAACAGTAGCCAGGAGACGCGTGACAGTAGGACTGGTAGCACGAAGGGAGTCAGACTCAGGGTCAGCAAGAGCAGGAAGAGAGGACGCAGGAGGAGACGGGAGAGGGACACGCTGGGGAGCAGTGGAAGGACGAAGCGCCATCTGGTGAGTGCCTGGGACAGCAGGAGGACGCTGACGCGGGACACGACGACCAGTGTGAGCAGCACGTACAGGCGACGCTCGACGAGACTCAGGCGACGCACGCAGGACGAGACTCAGGCTCACGACGCTCCGTAAGACCTCCAGTCGGACCAGTGTAAGGAGAAGAGGACCAGGGAGAGGGGAGACAGACGGTAACTGTGACTGCGACTGGACAGACGGAGGACACTCTAAGGAGGGAGGAGGACAAGGAGGAGGAGGCTGACCAAGAACCTGCTGAAGGAGCGGAACGAAGTACGGCCGCGGCCGCGCAGCGTCTCCAGAACCAGCAGAGACACCAGCGCCAGGGTCCTCACCACCAGCAGCAGCACCACCTCCAGGGTCCTCAGCACCAGCAGCAGCTCCAACTCCAGGGTCCGCAGCACCAGCAGCAGCGCCGACTCCAGGGTCCGCAGCACCAGCAGCAGCAGCTCCAACGCCCGGGTCGCAGCACCAGCAGCAGCTCCAACGCCCGGGTCCTCAGCACCAGCAGCAGCTCCAACTCCAGGGTCCGCAGCACCAGTAGCACCTCCAGAAGAAGCAGTACCTCCAGCAGCTACAGTAGCCCCAGCACCAGCAGCACCTCCAGCAGCTCCAGCAGCACCAGCAGTACCACCAGCAGCGCCAGAAGACCACCGCCAGCAGCAGCACCTCCAGCAGCTGGGTCCGCGACACTAGGAGCGCCACTCTGGAGACTGCAGCGCCGTGCGTACCACTCTCGGAGCCGCTGGGGAGAGGGCAGCTCCCGCCTAGGAGGGGAAGCACTAGCACCAGCTCCAGCCGCACTCTAGCTCCAGAAGCACCTCTCCTGAGGCTGCAGTACTGTAAGTACCACTCACGCAGCTGCTGTGAGGAGAGAGCTCCTCCAGGTGTAGCACTCCTAGGCTCAGCACCTCCAGACTCAGCACCCCCAGACTCAGCACCCGCAGGCTCCGCACCCCCAGGCTCAGCACCCCCAGGCTCCGCACCCCCAG